TCTTGCTTGTTGGAGTGCCAAAAACCTGTAGAGTTCTCTGGGCCAATTAGGAAAAATGGCTTTTTTTTTGTTAAGAGTAGAAATAATTTAAAGCCAAACTATTTTGCAGAAGTTGAAAGTAAGCTTGTATTGTATGCAACCCTAAAAACAAGCATCTAGTAAATTTCAATGAGTTAATTAATTGTTATAAATTGGGAATGGCTATTTTATTTTGGCAGTTCAACAAACAATCCACTATTGGAGAGAATATTGTCCAGTGGATAGGCCTGGGGACTGCAAGTCAGGACTTCTGGGTTTTATTCCATCTTTTCTCATTAGATTAGCATGTAATCTTAGGCATGTGCCTCTACTTACTCATCTATGAAATAGAGATAATAGTACTCACTTTGTCACTGGGTGTACATAATCAGTGTTAATAAAGGACAATATTTTAAGTTTGTCTAAAGTTAGGCACCTAAATCCATATTTAGGCACCGAAAAGTCTTTAGGTAGACAAGCCTGGAAAATCTGGCCTAAAGTGACAGGCCTATATTCACACATGAAGTTGGGGATCTCAGAACCCAGATCTTCCAACTCCGAGACCTGTGCTTCATCCTTCCTTCATAGTATTGACACTGTGACTTTATAGAATCATAGAGTCATAGACTTGAAGGTCAGAAGGGACCGTTATGATCATCTAGTCTGAACTCCTGCACAACGCAGGCCACAGAATCTCACCCATCCACTCCCGCAACAAAGCCCTAACCCATGTCTGAGCCATTGAAGTCCTCAAATCATGGTTTAAAGACTTCAAGGTGCAGAGAATCCTCCAGCAAGTGACCCATGTCCCACGCTGCCGAGGAAGGTGAAAAACCCCCAGTCTGCCCTGGAGGAAAATTTCTTCCCGACCCCAAATATGGCGATCAGCTAAACCCTGAGCATGTGGGCAGACACCCAGGAAAGAATTCTCTGTAGTAACTCAGATCCTATCCCATCTAACATCCCATCACAGATCACTGGGCATATTTACCGCTAATAGTCAAAGATTAATTAATTGCCAAAATTAGGCTATCCCATCATACCATCCCCTCCATAAACTTATCAAGCTTAGTCTTGAAGCCATATGTCTTTTGCCCCCACTATCGGTTACCTATTAAAAGCAGGTAATGGTAAGTGCTTCCCATATACAATTTGTGAGACACATCGTTCTTCTTATTCAGACCTATAACAGAAGCATGATGATACATGCTGAGCTTCAGCTTGTTCCCAAGAGCAACAATATCCTCTGGCTCCTATGGTCTGGCATGACTGTACGTCACATGGTGTTGCACAAGAGAGCAGCATGAGACACCACTGTACTCAGAACCCATGTCTTTTCCCTACCCCTGCTTCCCTACCCTTTCTTAAGCATAGTCTCCCTGAGAACGTTCAGCCCATTTAGAGCAATAGCTGCTACTTGCAGGCTTTAATCATTCATGAGGGACCATTATCTTAAGGTATAATTAATTATGAACTATGCAATTACTTGAGCAGGTCATTACAATTTCAGAATGCAGGGCCTGATTCAGCAACTCTCACCTCTGTGATTAGTTCCTACGCATATGAATAAAACTCACAAGATCCTTCTCCTAGTTGGGATCAATACATAGTAATTTAATACAATGGTCCTAGAGTCCTATTTAGCTTATGGAAGTATATGAACATTGGAGTATACTGTAGGCACTGGTTATTGGCAGATCATTTAAACAGAAGTGTCAAACTCAATCTGTAAAGATGGCCAAATTGCAATCTTTTAACTGTGGACAATAGCCTAGGTCTACATACACTATCCTTCAGCCACAAAGGGCATCCCAATGTTAACCAATAGAGCTTTGAGCAAAGACTGAATATCTTTCCAACTTAAAAAAAACAAAAAAGGCCTAAGAATTAGTAACCAGTAGTTCAAAATTTTTTGGTTTAATTAAAAATCGGGGGGGGGGG